CTGGATTTCCTGAATATACTAATAGTTAAACAGATGGGGTTTAATGAGTAGAAAAAAGAGAGAGGAAAAAAAAAAAATTCCCCACAAGTTGGAGAGGCCGAGGAGTACAGAATGCCAAAATATGGTGTACAATAATTACAGTTTACACAACTTCAAACTTTCTCCTGACAATTTTTTTTTCTGGTTTCAATATTGTGGTGTAAATAGATAGAAGAAGACAGAAGATATCTCCAGATACCGGAAGTCTGCGATAGATTACGGCGTTATTGTCAGAAAGTAAACTGAATTTTTTTTGGAGTCATCTAAGGAAGGCTGGGCGCATCAGCTGGTTATGCTGCTGTGGAACTACAACTCCCAGCACATCCTGAAAGCTGAAGGCCTTTGCTTAGCGAGGTAAATTGTAAAGTGCTGTGCAAACTGTTGGTGCTATATAAATCCTGTATAATAATAAATGACTGCAGGCGGTGAGTCTTAGGCCAATAACATAATTTTCTTTGGCTATCCAATCATGTTAAGAGTCTTTTTTTTTTTTTTTAATGTTCCACCTGAACACAACTTGATTCAGTTTGCTGAACTGGAAAAACGCTGTTTAGTCAATTATTCCCATTATTTAGATTTTGAAGGATTTTACGTGACTACGGGGAAGAGTTAACTGGAAAGCGTAGTAGTTTGCCTGATCAGCAAAGTCACAATCGTCTGTAAGAAGCGAAACTGACTAAAAAAAAAAACAAAAAAACTGGTGAATTTGATTGGAGTGAATACGGATTTGCTAGGCTTGCGTAAAAGTTGCACCGGCCCCACTATGATATAAACTGCATCTTTCTGGAATATTAAATCAGAAGTCACATACTTTTACAGATTTAAAACCAGTTAAAAACAAAATGGTTCAACTTTATACCACCTCCCAATGCAAAAAAAAAAAAAAGAAAAGAAAGAATTGAAAATTATTTCCTATAAATTCCAATAGTAAAAAAAAAATTGACTCTTAATTGCATGCTATCCATACTCGATCCAGCCAAAAGTGCAACAAATCAGTCGCTTGCATTGATTGGCTCTTGTATGGGAAATAAAGGACTGTCTATAGGTGCTTAGAAGTGACAAAAAAAAAAACTAGTTCAAGTTGTAGGGACCTTCCAACTTTCTGCTAAATGTCCATCTAACTGGTCAGAAAAGTTCTGATCTGTACCAGATATTATGGCATTGGTACGATTGCCAATTTTTTTCCCTGCAGTATATATTTAAATATAGGTGAATTTGGGGTAATAAATTGATCGTGTACCGGTTCCAGTATACACAATACATTGGTCACCTGGAATTTGTCACCCAGTCAGAGAGCGCCAACCCAGAGTCACCATCAGTCACTGACTGCATGGTTGTGTTATTGGTTGGGCATATATAAAAAAAAAAGGAATTATATATATATTATGCTCACACACACAGTACAGTGACCTCATCCTCACCAGGGCTATATATATCCTATCTATCAGGGGCGGAATGACAACTCATGGGGCCCCCGGGCAATAGGGGATCATGGGGCCCTGTGTCCTTGCCCAAACTCAAAAAAGCCTATGAAAAAGATACCAGGGGCATCTCATGGGGCCCCCTACTGACCCCGGGCCCTCAGGCAGTGCCGAGTTTCCAAATGGTCAGTCCGCCCCTGCTATCTATAGTATTCTATGTCCACCCGTTAAATTGACCATACTACCCATCTGTTCAGCCATATCCCATAAAAGCAACTTAGTACATTTACCATACAGTACTACCCCTCCAAAATCAGCTTTGGTCTACACTTTATGAGAATCTAACCCCTCCCACACACGCACACAAGCAGCTCAACGTATGCCTTCCAGCATACTATACCCACCCATCAAAATGACTATGCTAACCATCTGATTGGATATATCCTGTATATAGCAATTTCTATGCCATTCCATTACATTTGCCATACTACCCCTCCAAAGGCAACTTTGGTCTACATCATAGGGGACCACTTTGTTCATCTTGGGATTGGCATCACAACCTCATTGTCACTCCCCCCCCCTTACCTGTGCCTAAACCTTTGCCTTCCAATTGTTGCGGTCCCCATCTCCTTACATGCTGAAATCTCAATCATTTCCCAGCTGCTTTTCTGGTGCCCCAGAACAATGGACCCCCCTTAAATATATCTGCTGTATATAGCATTTCTAAGCCCAGCCCTCAAAATGACTATACTACCTCTCTGGCCAGTTATATCCAATTGATAGCAACTTCTAGGCCAACCCAACTACCTCTCTGATTTGTTATATCCTATTCATAGCAACTTCTATGCCAACCCACTGCACTTACCATACTACCCCTCCAAAGTCAGCTTTGGTCTTCATCATACTGGGCACCTTGTTCATCATCACCATAAAGCCCCCACCAGTACATCAACTTTAGCACTCCACTTCATTATGCATGGAGACTTCTCAGTTATGCCCATCAGCCTTTTTTGGGTCCCTGAATGATATGATTTATATATATAAACAGTATATATATCTTCTATATTTAACATTTCTCTGGCCACCCACCAAAATGACCATACTACCCCTCTGATCAGTCACAACCTATTTATAGTACATAGGTGTCTTCTATGCCAACCCAACTGTTACTCATAAGTTATATCCAATATATGTCTATGCCAACCTATTACCTTTACCATACTACCCCCCAAATTCAACTTCAGTCTTCATTGTAGGGGGCCAAATTGTTCACCATCAGCCCAAAGCCCCCCATAGTAGTACCTAAGCCCCAGAACAAAGATCACCTCATAAACATATATCCTATACCTACAGTTGTGACCAAAATTATTCAACCCCCAATGCTGTAAAGGGGTTTAGGGACTATAGTGTACATTTGGAATTGTATTCAGAATCAAATCCTACAAGGACCCCCCCCAAATGCAACTAAAATGACATCAATTCTGTAATACAGTAGTAAATGGTTCTTATGTGGTTTCTTCATTGCCACAATTATTCAACCCCTTAAGACTACCACTCTGAAGAACAGAGGTTCATACAGGTGCTTTCCATCAGGTATTGAAAACACCCCACCGAGCAGCAATCAAGCATAATAAGCACCAATTAGGCAGCTTTAAAATGACTGTGATACTCAGCTCCTTCTAGACATTTACTGGTGTGGTTACAAACATGGTGAAGGCAAGAGAATGGTCCAGGAAGACAAGAGAAGAGGTGATTTCTCTTCACAGGAAGGGCAATGGCTATAAGAAGATTGCAAAGATGTTAAACATACCAAGAGACACCTTAGGAAGCATCATTCGCAAATTCAAGCAAAGGGCACTGTTGAAACGCTACTGGTCGTGGCAGAAAGAAGATGCTGACTTCGACTGCTGTGCGCTACCTGAAGCGTAGAGTGGAGAGAAGTCCCCGTGTGACTGCTGAGGAACTGAGAAAAGATTTGTCAGATGTGGGTACAGAAGTTTCAGCCCAGACAATAAGACGCACACTGCGTAATGAAGGCCTCCGTGCCAGAACTCCCAGGCGTACCCCCTTGCTGTCTCCAAAGAATAAGAAGAGTCGACTGCAGTATGCCAAAAGCCATGTGGACCCATCAAAAGTTGTGGGATAGTGTTCTGTGGACTGATGAAACAAAATTAGAACTGTTTGGGCCCATGGATCAACGCTATGTTTGGAGGAGGAAGAACAAGGCCTATGATGTAAAAGAACACCTTGCCTACTGTGAAGCATGGTGGAGGGTCAATCATGCTTTGGGGCTGTTTTGCTTCTGCAGGTACAGGGAAGCTTCAGCGTGTGCAAGGTACCATGAATTCTCTTCAGTACCAGGAGATATTGGATGGAAACGTGATGCAGTCCGTCACACCCTGAGGCTTGGGAGACGTTGGACCTTTCAACAGGACAATGATCCCAAGCATACCTCCAAGTCCACTAGAGCATGGTTGCAGAGGAAAGGCTGGAACATTTTGGAGTGGCCATCGCAGTCACCAAACTTAAATCCGATTGAGAACCTCTGGTGGGACTTAAAGAAAGCAGTTGCAGTGCGCAAGCCTAAGAATGTGACTGAACTGGAGGCCTTTGCCCATGAAGAATGGGCGAAGATACCCGTAGATCGCTGCAAGACACTTGTGTCAAGCTATGCTTCACGTTTAAAAGCTGTTATAACTGTAAAAGGATGCTGTACTAAGTACTAAGATTGAATGTCACTTGGGGGTTGAATAAAACTGATAATGCTGTGAGCACAGAAAAGACATTTGTGGTTATTTCATTATAACTGTTATGTTATATTTGTCTGACCTACAAGTGCCTCTTTAATGTAAATGTAAGCAAGATGACTGAATGATCAAAAGCAATGTCAAACTGGCCAAAACACTCAATTTCAGTGGGGGTTGAATAATTTTGGTCACAACTGTATATTTTCTATGCCAGCTTATTACATTTACCATACAACCCCCCCCCCCCCCCCCCCATTTCAACTTCAGTCTTCATTGTAGGGAGCCAAATCGTTCATCATCAGCCTTAAGCCCCCATTAGTACCTAAACCCCAGAACAATGACCACCCCATAAACATATATCCTATATCTAGCATTTCTATGCCAGCCTAGTACATTTACCATACTACCCCCCCCCCCCAATTCAGCTTCAGTCTTCATTGTAGGGGGCCAAATTGTTCATCATCAGCCTAACAAACCTTGCACCGCAATCACTTTTTGGGGTCCCAGCATGATGACTACCCCATAAATATATCTCCATGTATATAATTTCTATGCCCATCCTTTTGGTCTTCATCGTAGGGGGCACGTTTGTGGGTCCCCATTTCATTATTCAATAACTTTATAATTACTTCTTCATCAGTGACCAGCTGCATTTTTATGGTCCCAGAACAATGACTATCGTATATACTGTATATATACCAGAAGCGGACTGACAACTCGTGGGGCCCCCGGGCAATAGGGGATCATGGGGCCCCTGTGTCCTTGCCCAAACTCAAAAAAGCCTTTGAAAAAGGTACCAGGGGCATCTCATGGGGCCCCCTACTGACCCCGGGCCCTCGGGCAGTGCCCGAGTTTCCAAATGGTCAGTCCGCCCCTGATATATACTATAATAAACATTTCTGTGATCACCTATCAGCATGATCATGCCGCCCTTCCCATCAGTCATAGCTGATATATAGCAATTTCTACACCAGCCCATTACATTTAACTTATTAACCCTCCAAAGTTCATTACGGGGGGGAGCACATCATTCATCATCAGCCTATAGCCCCCCAGCAGCACCACAACACTTGGATCACTGAGATGCCCCACCTTCTAAACAATGCCCAGTTGCTTTTTATGGGTCCCAGAACAATGACCAACCCATAAATATATCTCATTTAATGTATAATATCTATGGCCATCTTTCTGGTCTTCATTGTAGTGGAACACATCGTTTATTATCAGCCCCCCACCAGCACCTGCACACTTTTTGAGGTCCCCTGCCTCTTAAAGAGCATCTGGCTGCCTTTCTGGGGGTCCCAGAACAATGATCACCCCATTTTTATATATATATATATATATATATATATATAAAAAATATATATATATATTAGGGGGGCATATTGTTCATCATGAGCCTAAGCCCTCCCACCAGCACCCTAATACTTTTTGAGGTCCCTTGCCTCTTAAAGAATGCCTGGCTGCTTTTTTTGGGGGGTTCACAGAACAATGATCACCCCATTACTATATCTCCGATATATATTCATTGTGGGGGGGGTCACATTGTTCATCATTATATATTATATATATATTAGGGGGGCATATTGTTCATCATGAGCCTAAGCCCTCCCACCAGCACCCTAATACTTTTTGAGGTCCCCTGCCTCTTAAAGAGCATCTGGCTGCCTTTCTGGGGGTCCCAGAACAATGATCACCCCATTTTATATATATATATATATATATATATATATAAAATATATATATATATATTAGGGGGGCATATTGTTCATCATGAGCCTAAGCCCTCCCACCAGCACCCTAATACTTTTTGAGGTCCCTTGCCTCTTAAAGAGTGCCTGGCTCCTTTTTTGGGGGGTTCCCAGAACAATGATCACCCCAATATATATATATATATATATAAAATATATATATTAGGGGTGCATATTATTCATCGTGAGCGTAAGCTCTCCTACCAGCACCCTGATACTTTTTCAGGTCCCTTGCCTCTTAAAGAGCACCTGGCTGCTTTTTTGGGGGGTTCCCAGAACAATGATCACCCCATTACTATATCTCCGATATATATTCATTGGGGGGGGGTCACATTGTTCATCATTATATATTATATATATATTAGGGGGGCATATCGTTCATCATGAGCCTAAGCCCTCCCATCAGCACCCTAATAATTTTTGAGTTCCCTTGCTTCTTAAAGAGCGCCTGGCTGCTTTTTTGGGGGGTTTCCAGAACAATGATCACCCCATTTTATATATATATATATATATATATATATATTAGGGGGGGCATCTTATTCATCATGAGCCTAAGCCCTCCCACCAGCACCCTGATACTTTTTGAGTTCCCTTACCTCTTCAAGAGCACCTGGCTGCTTTTTTGGGGGGTTCCCAGAAGAATGATCACCCCATTACTATATCTCCGATATATATTCATTGTGGGGGGGGGTCACATTGTTCATCATCAACCAAAGGCCCCCATCCCCCACTAGCACCTCAACTCTTTCTGGGGGTCCCCACCTCTTAATCAGCACCCAGTCCTGGAATGAGGACCACCTGCAACCTAAAAAAAATGGGGGGTTTCAAGCCCCCAGCCCCCCCAGTAGAAGTGTAGGTAGGGCAGCAGGCTGTGCTCTCCACCAGTAGATGTGATCAGAGGGAGGGGATGAGTCCCGGAAAGAGAGACTTTATATACTTTGCCATTTAACTCCTTGCCCCCCCCCTCCAGTGAAAGGGTTAATCCCCCCCCCCCCCCCATCCATGCATCGATCGATCAGCGGCGGTGTCCGATCCTGAGCCGTGCGATCAGTGGAAGAAGAAGGGGGGGAGGAGGGGAGGGGTGGCAGGGTGGTGGTGGGGGTTGGGTGCCTCTGCTGAGATCTGCCTGCAGTATCCGGAAAGTTATTCCTCCAGCAGCTCCCAGCCTCGGACCGGACCGGGGCACAGCTCAGCCTGCCGCAGGGGGGTGGCCGGTGTCCCCGGGGGGGAGGGGGGGCGCTGTGTCTGCTGGGGGAGGGGAGGGGGGGGGAAAGTTCGGCTCATGGAGCTCCGGGGCCGGAGATGTGAAATCAGCCAGAAGAACGAGCAGCACCAGCCGTGATCGCCCCGATCTCCGCCGCCGACACCGCCGCCGCCGCCGCCATGTACTCCCCGCTCTGCCTCACCCAGGTAAGGGGCCTGCAGTGCCGGGGGAGGGGGGCGCAAACGGCCGCTTGGAGTTTGTCTGCAGGGAGTTTGGCATGTGGATGATTGCTGGAATCCCGGGGCCGGGGGGCCGGGGAGGATCGGTGCCGGGCACGGAGCGATCTCATACATTCTTCCCTTGTAGTGTCACACTTTCCTCCACTGTCTGCATCCCAGTCCCGGCTCACCGACAACCGCCACTTTACAGACAACCGTCACTTCACCGATAACTGTCACTTCACCGACAAGCATCACTTCGCCTATAACCGTCACTGCACGGACAATTATCACTTTGGCGATAACTGCCACTTCACCGACCACCGTCACTTCACCGACAACTGTCACTTCACCGATAACTGTCACTTCACCGATAACTGCCACTGCACCGACGACTGTCACTTTCCTGTTTCTTTTTTTTTTTTTGCAAGTGTAATTTGCAACAATTTCTTGTGCCATCCTCATGTTTGGCAGTTATTTTCAATGGCAGCATTCTCCTGGATCACTCAGAACTCTGACTTTTCCCTATGATGGTGTCATTTACAACAGCATCAGTTTTTTTTTAATTGCAACATTCTCCTGGGTCACTTGCAACCCTGACTTTCCTTTTGCACGTGCCATTTGCTGCAGTATCAGTTTTATTTTTAATTGAAACTTTGTCCTGGATTACTTGCAACATTGTCTCTTGTTCTTGTTCTGCCAGTGTCAGGTTCAATTTGCAACATTTTCTACTGCAACAGTGTCCTGGATCACTCACAGCGGTGACTTTTCTCTTCCTCAATGCCAGAGTCAGGACCATCCCAAGTACTGGCAGTTATTTCCAATGGCAGTAGTGTCCTGCATCACTTGCAACAGTGACTTTTCCCTGCTTTAATGGAAGGGTCAAGGCCATGTGCAGCCTTGGCAGTTATTTCTAATTGCAACTTTGTCCTGGATCACTTGCAATGTTGTCTCCTGTTTTTTTGTTTTGCCAGTGTCAAGTTCATTTGCAACATTTTAAGTTGCAACAGTATCCTGAATCACTGGCAGCAGTGACTTTTCTCTTCTTTAATGCCAGTCAGGGCCATCCCCAGTATCGTCAGTTATTTTCAATGGCAGCATTTTCCTGGATCACTTGGACCTCTGACTATTCCCTGTAATAGTGTCATTTGCAACAGTATCAGTTTTATTTTTAATTGCAGCTTTGTCTTGGGTCACTTGCAACATTCTTGTTTTGCGAGTGTCAAGTTTAATTTGCAACATTTTCTACTGCAATAGTGTCCTGGATCAGGGGGCAGCAGTGACTTTTTTCTAATGCCAGAGTCAGGGCCATATGCATCCTTGGCAGTTGTTTTCAATGGCAGCATTGTCCTGGATCACATACAACTGTCACTTTCCTTTTTTCTTTTTTCAAGTTCATTTGCAACATTTTCTACTTAGTGTCTCAGAACATGGACTTTGCAATAGTGTCCAATAGTATGGATCACTCACTTGAACATGTTGGAGTGTCAAGTTCATTTGCAACCTTTCTACTGATAGTGTCACTCAGAACATGGACTTTCCCTTTGATAGTGTCATTTCAGTTTTATTTTTAATGGCAGCATTGTCCTGGATCACCTGCAACATTGTCTCTTGTTCTTGTTTTGCGAGTGTCAAGTTCATTTGCAACATTTTCAGTTGCAGCAGTGACCTGGATCACTCTGGACACTTAATTTTCCCTTCTTCAACGCCAGAGTCAAGGCCATCCCCACTATTGTCAGTTATTTTCAATGGCAGATGTGTCCAGGATCACTCAGAACTCTGACTTTTTCCTATGATAGTGTCCTTTACAACAGTATCCGTTTTATTTTTAATTGCAACAGTGTCCTGGATCACTTGCAACAGTGACTTTTCCTTTCTTTTTAATGCAAGGGTCAGGGCCATGTGCAGCCTTGGCAGTTATTTTTAATTGGAACATTGTCCTGGATCGCTTGCAACATTGTCTCTTGTTCTGTAAGTGTCAAGTTCATTTGCAACATTTTCAGTTGCAGCAGGGTCCTGGATCACTCAGTGACTTTTCCCGTCTTCAGTGCCAGAGTCAGGGCCATCCTCATGTTTGGCAGTTATTTTCAATGGCAGCATTCTCCTGGATCACTCAGAACTCTGACATTTCCCTATGATAGTGTCATTTACAATAGTATCAGTTTTATTTTTAATTGCAACATTCTCCTGGGTCATTTGCAACACTGATTTTCCTTTTGCACGTGCCGTTTGCAATAGTATCAGTTTTATTTTTAATTGCAACTTTGTGCTGGATTACTTGCAAAATTGTTTCTTGTTCTTGTTCTGCGAGTATCAAGTTCAATTTGCAACATTTTCTACCGCAATCCAGTGTCCAGGATCACTCAGAACATTTACTTTTCCCGTTTTCAATGCCAGAAACAGGGCCACCCCCAGTACTGGCAGTTATTCTCAATGGCAGCAGTGTCCTGGATCACTCGGAACACTGACATTTCCCTATGATAGTATCATTTACAACAGTATGAGATTTATTCATAATTGCAACAGTGTCCTGGATCACTTGCAACAGTGCCTTTCCTCTTCTTTAATGCGAGGATCAGGGCCATGTGCAGCCTTGGCAGTTATTTTCAATGGCAGCATTGTCCTGGATCACATACAACTGTCACTTTCTTCTTTTTTTTTGGAAGTATCAAGCTCATTTGCAACATTTTCTACTGCAATAGTGTCCTGCATCACTGGAAACACTGACTTTTCCCTCAATTAATGCCAGAATCAGGGCCATCCCCATTACTGGCAGTTGTTTTCAATGCCAACAGGGTCCTGGATCACTTGGAACGCTGAC